GTTGCAGAAGAGGTATGGACTGGTCATGATGTTACTTTTGATCATTTACGGATTTTTGGTTGTCTTGCTTATGTGCATGTACATGCTGATAAGAGATCCAAACTTGATGCAAAATCGAAGGAGTGCATTTTTCTGGGTTACAAGAAAGGTGTCAAAGGATTCAAGTTCTGGGATCCAGTTGCGAAGAAAATTATGATCAGTAGAGATGTTGTTTTTGATGAACAATCTATGTTGCAGCAGAAGAAAGACACGAGAGTGGTGGATTTCGAGCAGTTTCCAATTGAGAAAACAGAAACTTCTCAACCGACTTCTGGTGGTTTTGCTGCGGATGATTTGCAGGATTATAGTCTCGCGCAGAGACAGGGTGAGATGGACGGATATAAAGCCTCCGAACAGATTGGGTTTTGAAGATTAGGTCTCTTTTGCACTTACTGTTATCAGTGATGATCTGATTACTTTTCATGATGTTGTTACTAGTGAGGAAAATGACAAGTGGATGGCTGCCATGGTTGAGGAGATGGACTCTTTAAATCACAATCGTACATAGGAGTTAGTTCACCTTTCTGAGGGTAAGAAGCTAGCAGTAACAGAAAAAGAGGGGGAGAAGTTCAAGGCTCGTTTGGTAGCAAAGGGTTTTTCACAGCAGAAAGGAGTTGATTATGATGAAATGCTTTCTCATGTGGTCAGGCACACTTCAATCCGAGCAATACTTAAATTGGTGGCTAGTTGGGATTTGCATTTAGAGCAGATGGATGTTAAAACTGCTTTTTTGCATGGTGATTTAGAGGAGCAGATCTACATGCAACAGCCTGAAGGTTTCACTCAACCTGGAAACGAGCATTTAGTTTACAGATTGAAGAAATCTTTGTACAGGTTGAAACAATCTCCGAGATATTGGTACAAACAGTTTGACTCCTATATGATCAAGATTGGCTACAAGCGATGTGAGTATGATTGTTGTGTCTATGTTAAGAGCCTTGATGATGGTTCTTTTATTTTTCTGTTATTGTATGTTGATGATATGTTAATTGCTGCGAAGAACATGGATGATGTTATCGGTTTGAAAACTTTATTGAGTCAGGAATTTGATATGAAAGATTTAGGTGCTGCAAAGAAAATTATTGGAATGGAAATTTACAGGGACAGAGACTTAAGGAAACTGTGGCTATCTCAATAGGGTTATGTTGAGAAAATGCTAGAAAGGTTTGCGATGAGCAGCACAAAACCAGTGAGCACTCAATTGGCGAATCACTTTAAGCTCTCATCAGAACAGTGCCCTAAGACATATAAGGAAGCTGAAGATATTGAAAAGGTTTCGTATTCTAATGTTGTTGGCTTCTTGATGTATGCAATGGTATGTACTCGTCCTGATTTAGCTCATGTTGTTAGTCAAGTTTGTAAGTACATGTCTAAACCTGGTAAGCAACATTGGGAAGCAGTCAAGTGGATCTTTAGGTACTTAAAGGGTACTGTGGGGCATGGAATTGTTTTTGGTAGTCAGCGGGATAATCCTTTGGTTGTATGATATATGGATTCAGACTATGCGGGTGACTTGGATAATAGAAGATCTACGACAGGGTATGTCTTTACTCTTGGTGGAGGGCCTATTTGTTGGAAGTCTATTGTTCAATCTGTTGTGGAATTATCTACAACTAAAGTTGAATACATGGCAGCGGCTGAAACAATAATATGGCTTACTGGTTTAGTGAAGGAGTTGGGTGTTCAGAAGGTGGTGTTCAGTTGCTTTGTGATAATCAAAGTACTATTCACTTGGCTAAGAATCATGTATATCGCACTAGAACTAAGCATATTGATGTAAGGTTTCACAAGATCAGAGAGTTGGTTGCATCTGGAGAGATTTTGTTTCAGAAGGTACATACTAATGAGAATGTCGTTGATATGTTCACCAAGCCAGTTACGACATACAAGTTCATGCATTGCTTGGACTTGTTGAGTGTTTCGAGTTGTTAAAGAAGTAAGGTAACCCAACCCATATTGAATGTTTCCTAAGGGCCAGATCGAAAATCAAGTTATTAATGAAGTTTTGGGTCCTGAAAGATATGGTCGGGTTCGCTTTCAAGGATCATTCATTACCCCAACCAAATATTTTGGATCCAGATCATCTTAATACATGTCATCACACAACCAGTCTTTCCAATTAGAAGTTAGTCATTTAAAACAATGGTTGACTTAAATGGATGAAAAATTTGCTCAAATGAAAGCTGAAACTGAAGCGAGGGAAGTAGAGAGAGAAGCAACATATCAGAAAAAATGTGAAGACTTTCAAAATCAACTTCAAGCTAATATGCAAATGATACAAAAAAATCAACCCCAAAGTCCACCATCTTCGATGTTATTTTAGATATATGCTTTGTTTACTCGAGTTAGCAATGTTGAACTACATTATATTTCACTTTAATGTAAACTTTGATTCATTGGATTTCAAGTTTGTTTTTATACATTTCAAGTTTGTTGTTATAGATGTCAAGTTTATTGGAAATGCTACAGGTTAAAAATTTAAATTTGGGTAATAAAAGAGCAGAAAACAATATTTGAAAAATCGGTTTTAATTAGTAGCGTTTCTATAAAAAAATGCCACTAAATACATAGTCAATACCAACATTTGTTAAACAAAACGCCGCTAAAGTTCAAGATCTCTTGTGGCGTTTATACAGAAAACACCACTATATAAGTAGTTAATAGCAACGTTTTACATTCACAAACGCCACTATATGTCAGGACATTTAGCGGTATTTTTGGGAACAAACACCACAAAAGAAAAGATAAATAGCGGCATTTTAAGAAAAACGCCGCTAAAAATTATAACCTTTAGCGGTGCTTTTTGTGGTGTTTGTTTTTTGCTCCACTGCTATATGACTGAAAAAACGTCGTTAAAAACTTGTTTTGCTATAGTGTGTAAACAAGTCAACAATTTCTCTTGCCAAGAATCCCGTCTAACCATAGCCGAGGCAAGCATATTGATACAAAGTATCACTTTATACGAGATCAAGTGAAGAACAAAAATGTTGAATTAATCTACTGTAGAACTGAAGATCAATTTACATATATTTTTAAGAAATCATTGAAAGTAAATATATTCAACCGATTCAAAGAAAAGATTGAAATAAAAAATTAAGTTTGAGGGGAAATATTAGAGATCAAACTTAATTTTTATTGTCTATAAATTATAGATATGGTCTTATCTACGTGTGGCAAATTGAAAGTAAATATGGCAGCAGCTGGAATCCTCGAAATGAGTCGGCAATAACAAAGCTAGGATGAACGTGGCAGCAAAGCAATGCATGAATCTAAGAATGTACACTTGGATAATTAATTATTAAGCATGTTAACGTGATAAAGGGAGCCAAGGTTACTACGGGAAATCAATTGACAATGGCAAATGCTAGAAAGAATTAGTGACATCTAGAGTATTCAACTAAGGCGGTTAAACATGGTCATATATATATATATATATATATATATAGCTTTAGTTTGTACATGGATGATACATGCACCAGAGTCCATAATACATGCTTCTTTGGACTAATGTTTCTACTCGAACCTATTAGAAGAACAAAGTCTCGAAGATTCAAAGCATATCTATTCGGTAAGTATAATGTGAATGAATCATTAAATGATTCTAATGTTGCTCCCTTTAATGTTTCAGATTCGAGGTCGAATCTTTTTGAAGAAAGGGAGGATGATACATGCATCACAAGGCTCACATCAAAGGAAGAAGTAATAACTCTTCCAAATGATCCACTCGTCCAAGCATTGGAAAAGAATATCAGAACAGAAGCAAACTTACGACGACTTTTTGAATGGGATCCTGATCTTCTTTAGTCAAGATGTCTTCTGGAGATACAACCGTCTGTCTCTTATCTTTCCAACGGTTCTTGAATCGCATCAATCCGATATCGGGAACTCAAGATATGACTATTTTACTGAAGACGGTGCATGCAGAAAATCCTATACGGGATTAATACGGGATTTTGTAAATATTACGAATTTTCAATATTTTTATTGATTATTTGTAATATAACTTAATATAGGATGATGCATTATCTTTTAGGATTAGATTTATTATTTTATTAGGAATTAAGATTGTGTTAAAAATATTATCTTTAGTTATTATTATTTTATTAGGAATTAGAGTTAATATATGTTTAGTTTATTATTATTTTATTCATTAGTTATTTAAGACCTTTAGAACTCAGCCCCTATATAAAGGAGGCTTCATTAAACTTTGTAATGGAAGATTTCTTTGATCAATAATACAACGAGAGTTCGTTTTTGCAAGTGTTGATTGCCTTGTGCCTTCGAAGCTTCTTCTCCTGGAGTTCTTTCAAGTTCTTGTGAGGGAGATTAATCTTCACACTCCAATTTGCCTTTTCATCGCGACTAGGAGGGTTGGTTAGAGTCATTTATCGTGTTTGCCTTTTCATTGCGACTAGGAGGGCTCGATAGGACACTTATCCATCTATTTTTCCACAAATCCATCCGCACCATCAATCATCTTTACCGTTCACCTTCATAAGGGAGATCTTTTGATTTCTTTATTATCTTATTTCATCTTTCATTTATTTATCTTTTGTTTATTTTATTCTAATCGTGTTGTCTTGATTCCAGCACATAAAAGAAACCCTAAACAATCCTAGCGACTGCCGCCACCTTCCCATATTCATCACCTTTGTTCTTCATCGAGTCTAGAGCTTTCTAGGTTTGATTCTTCAATAAGAGTAACGTTCATCAATCCGCCACCGCTTCCCTATCAATGGATGAGTGAGTATAAAATCGAGAGACAAATTTAGAAAAACTAGATAAGATTGAAAAGCTTAACAAAGCTTTAAGAGTAGTGTTTGTAAACTAACCACAATTAATGTCGTTGTATTTATATTTAGTGATAATATTATACGAATTATAAAGTTTTTGAGTTTTCACTAACGCTTTCAACATATTTGATTAAGAAATTTTCTCATTTATAAAGTCCTTAAAAAATTTAATCAAGTTTACCATTTACACTTGCTTTTAAGCTACATTGTTAATCTCTGCTAAGTTAGCCATTCTAACATCAACTCTCATGATCTTTGCAGACAGCAAGTGAGATCAACGAAAGCTTCTTGGATGCAGGGAATCACCAAAGAACCCGGAGGATGATTGAATCCGTACTCTTCTTCTGCTTGACTCAATAAATTTTGGAAGGAAGGATGCTTGAGGAATGAAATCGGTACAACGAATCTCTTCTTTTCGATTTCTCCAACATAAACGGCAAAGTGGCCTTTAGGCACCACTGTCGTCTCTGAGGATGAAAGACTCCGTCTCGGACTCGTCTTAGCATTCACAATTCTCGGCAACCGAAACCCCATAATTCAAGATTGTTCTGTGACAAGTAGTGTGGATGAGGAAATGCTGCAATTGGCGCGCAAGGTGGCTATCCATTAGAATTTTGTATTTATAGAGTGAAATGCTATGTTGGTCAACAGTCTCGAGGCTGATCGAGTGGTAAAGAAAGAATGCTTTTGTAGATATAAGTAGTCAGGAATCACATGGCCCTGTGTACCTAACATCTATGTCTTTTGCAAATTGTAGCTTATCATAGTTAACCAATGTGGAACAAACAGCAATCATGGCCCATTTGAAATATTATTTATCATGGCTAGATGATGATGATGATGATGAAGACTTGACTTAGCACATCATATGGATGAAATGCTATATAGTGGAGACCAGCAAGATATATATCAAAATTAACATCTCCACTAGCTAATATGAGTCTTTAGGTTAATGGCCTACATGTTTGCTCATAACTAGGGTTTAAGACCTGTTCTATGCCCGTGTTGCAAGATGAAACACAATGAAACCAGGTTATGAATCCGACATTATTTGATGACTTCGACGAGCGAAGAACCGAAGTTTCTGAACTTGGTTAAGCATCCATATTTAAGGGATTAAACGTTTAAGGTCAAACCGTCGAACACAAAGTACTATACACACCATTCTAGTAATTTTTTATATTATTGCAGAATCACCAAATATAGACTTCAAGAGATCCATCCATGGATCAGACAAAAAAATATTTCATTATAGTTGATCTTAAAACTCATTTTTGAAGTCAACTCCTCAAGAATTTCTAGCACTGAACTCTTCTCCGACATAGACATTAGACAGCGAAATAGCCCCTCGGCACGTTTGTGGTCTTCAAGGACAAAAGACCTTGATTTGATTTATTTTCTGCTGGAAAGCAATATTCATGGAAAAAAGGGTGTCTGACCAATAAATGGAAGTGGATTAAGTGGCCAAGAAATGACCCACTTTAAAGGGGGGATCTGTTCAAGGACATAGATCGTGACTCACATGGATATTCCTTTATATCAGTAATACTTTGATAGATTCACAAACAAAAACTTTTTCAATCATGGATTTATCATGGCCTACCAATCAATAAGAAAACAACTATGGTTGTCTAGAAATTTTTATGGATTATCATGGGCTCTATGATTCCAATGCATGTCCAACACAGCAGTTGGGTGAAAGACTAACTTCTAGGCATCAACATTCAGATCAAACTGCTTATTTTTCATAAGTACTACTAATCAAACAAACATTCACACACACACACACATAATATAGTCTTCAATGGCCTTACCGATGAGACTCATAAACGAATTATTATGAGCTCATGTGAAGTTGTTGTACTAGTGATGAGTTGGTGATGAAAATTATAGCCTCTGGGGCCTTTTACTTTGAAGAGGTGATAGGTTGAAGGGAAACTTAGAGCCAACCAAGCTTATGATGTTTTTTCTAGTCCCAAATTGATGAGAACTGCCAAACATTACAATCTATGGCTTTGGTATAGAGACTCTTTTACATGTGGCTGCTTATTTTAGTGGCCGGTTCCTATGCAGTATTATTTAGATTTATAGACTCGTGTGGCTTTCACAAATGTTGGCAGATTTGATGGCTGCATGTGGTTTTAAAAAGATAATTACTGAAATAATTTTTGAAAAAAGTGCGGATTCACTGAATGAATGAAATTCAACTGTGCATGCACAAATTGTAGGACATTATGTTAGAAACACAACGTATCTACTGGCCTCTTAATATTTTCTTGTACCTTGAGGATTTGTCTTAAGAATGATAATCTTTAGTTTTGTTTGACAGAAACAGAAAAGGATAATCTAGTATTATCTCATACATGAATCAAGAACAGTACCTGCAGAGATCCGGCGAGGAATTTACTGCCGCATTGCCCTTGCCAGTTGCACAAACGAGTTCACCGTCGACCTTGGCCCTATAACTACATGCCTCAAAAGAGTTTTACAAAAGAAACCAAAACCAATTATAAAAAGAAAGCACAATTTAGGAACTTCTGAAAACAAACCCATTGTTGAGAATCCCCTGGTATACCCAGATGACAAACCTTGATGCATACATTCGACATAGACCATTCATACACATTAACAGTATAAGAACATTGATCCTTACTCTTAACCTTTATGCATAACTTTGACATGACCATTCATGGAACGTTCAAAGATCTAACAGTGCATGAAATCATCCCCTGATGTTTTGCAACTCAAACTTGGTAAAATCATAAGATATTTTGCCAAAATGTTAAAATTTAATCCATTATGAATGGATAAGGAGAAAATTATTAGCGTCACAAAAGTTAGATGATCTTAAATGGTCTTAGACCAGCAATGCCTAGCAACAGACAAAGCTGAACCATGTGAAACTTAACCAATTGCTTCACCTGATATGTTTTCCAAAACATTCTCCAATAAAGAATCTCCCCCGCTCGCTATATATATATATATATATATATAGCCAGTAAAGATGAAAATTTCAAACCAAGTCTTTTTCGCTCTTCAAAAAACAGCCCATCACTTAAAAAATCAAACCTTTGATCTTCTTTTTCTTCTTCTCTAAGATGGGTATTCAACTAACCGGTCTAGCTCAAGCGAAACAAAAGCTGCAACGAACGCTCTCAGGACGAATTGGGAAAGCAATGGCGACATTGAATGTTCCGAAAAGCCATGTTGCAGTTTATGTTGGGGAAGGCAATAGGAAAAGATTTGTGATTCCTATATCTTACTTGAACCATCCATTGTTTCAAGACCTTTTGAATAGAGCAGAGGAGGAATTTGGATTTAACCATCCAATGGGTGGTCTTACAATCCCATGTAGTGAAGAGTACTTCATCAGTTTAACAACATCATTGAACTGTTCATAGAAGCTTCCTGCACTAAAAATGGCTGCAGAAAACATAAAGTTGTTGCAGTAAAAGCCAAGAAAAGAGCAGTCTTTTTTCATTTTTTATGTAGGTCTGGGTAATTCAATTCTATGTAAACACTGTTTTGTAAAGGGCAAGAATTATTGTTATTGTTTGCTGACAACAAAACATGTTCTTCAAAGAGAAAGTTTGGTTAATGATGAATCATTTTTCTTATATTTTCCCAGAAGATACGTAAAATATGCCTAAAGTAGAGAGCTTTGAACATCAGGAGAAGAAGCATTTAGAACAAAAATCAGATAAACCATTCAAATATTACATACCTTATATTATCATGAGTGGTTGCAGTACTTGCTTTTTTCCTTTGCATTTCTATTGTTTTAACGTCAAAATCATTGATACGGAAATCATTCATTCAAAAATTTAGAAAAACAGAGAAGATGAATAAATTAATAACAAGAGGTTTAAATATGTAAGTGGTTTTGTACATTATTTTAAAATATAAGATTTTGTTATTAATTAAGATTGAATATCAAGAAGAATTAAATTTTTAAACTTTAAACGTATGAGGGACCTGATGAGTATTTAAATTTAAAATTTATGGGAACGAGACTCAATTTTATGTATATTAAAACTAACAATGACCTACTTAATTTTTGCAAAATTAATATATGTACCCTAGAAGTTGGTATATTTTGCTCAAATGATCGTTATGATTATCGAACATTTTCAAAAGTTATAAAATAATTATTAAATTTTATGAAATCATTACAAAATGGTTAATAAACTTCATCGAACTGCTACAAGATGATCATTAAATTATATAA